GAACACTTCTCTTGACCAAAATAATTTCGAAATGCCCTTGTGCTGATGGCCTGTAATTTGCAGGATTCATTTTTCAAATGCAAAAAGACAGATGTCTTTGTCTCTGCTGCAAATGGCCTGGATAAATTAAAACTAATTGGGTTGATGTGGTTCTGATAATTGAATGAGATGCATGTAAAGCTTGGATGACGATGGAGGAAAGAATAACTCTTGATTTTTATAAATGAGAGGCAGCAAATGACAGAATCTTGAAGTCTATTAAAGGGTAAAATCAAGGAGTAACACAGAGAGGGGAAGAAAATGGTCACATTCAAAAAGGTAAAACAAAAAAGAGACAAAGTGTAGATGTGCCAGACTATTCAAGGTGCGTTCACGTGAATTCCTAAAATGCTTCCATATATAACAAATGTGATGTCCCCTCTCAAAATCCAACCTGATTGCCAAGATGATTCACAGGATTTCTGCTTTGGAAAATCAGATTACTAAAAGTCAATGTGCAAAAAAAAAAGACAATATAGACTCACCCAGGAAGCTCAAAAAAATAAAGTGGTCTTTCACTTTTCCCCTCCTTTATTCCTCTTTCTCTAAATGGACAGAAAATGTGATGTTCCTGTGCAAATCCCTGGGCAGGTGGGTAGAGCTCAGCCATCCCTACAACAGGCAGAGGTGGAAAAAAAAAGAAAGAAAATGCAAAAAGGAAAAATTAAGATAACAGCTTGAACATGGTTATTTGCAACAAGGCAGAAATCATAGAAGGTTTGGGTTGGAAGAGACCTTAAAGACCGTGTGAAGCACATTAAATCACGTTCATGATAATAACCAGCTTTCAACACTAGATTTGTTCTATTTGCAACAGAAAACAATCAATAAATATCATAAAACTACAATTTCTGGTCTTCCACTCAAGATAGCAATTCCACCACTACAACTTACGGTCACGGAGAGGGGAAAAGAAAAAAAATCAACACAAGAAATCTTCAAGCACGCTAAACCCAGGAATATAAAAGTTTAAATCACTAATATACTGAAGGAAGCTTATTTTTAGCCCAAATTTTGGTAGAGGTATTATCAGAAGTGAGGGGTTTTTTTGGTTTTTGTTTTTGTTTTTTTTTTTTTTTCTTTCAGGAAAAGGGATGGGAAGGGAAAACTGCAGGAAAGCACCAGCTTTAATGTACAAACACCTGCCTTGGGATTTCACTTTGCTGGCAAAGAACTGCTGTTAATAAAACACCAATATATGGTAAACCCCGCAAAGAAAACTGAGGTGGAAAATTTGCCCTCACCTTGAGGAAAAGAAATGAGGCAGGAAATCAAACCAGGGGTCTGTTCAGCCTGAAGGCTCCACTTGGTGTGAACTGGGGCAGCTGAGGCAGATTTTCCTGTGAAATAAACAGTTGGAAAGATGATTTTGCTGTCCAATCTTAGAGAACTCAGCAGAGCCCTGTGGTGTGGGCAAAACACACCCCAAAATGGGTTTAACTGTCAGAGCCCGAATAATGCACCTGGATGTTTCCACTGGTACATCAGGGCAGGGCACCTGCCATCCCACCACCGAAAAACAGCATTTACAGCTTCTCTTTCCATGCCAAATGTCTGTGAACAACTCTTACCACGAATTTTAGACAGTTTACCCCCTAAATGGGTAAGAATTGTCAGACAAAAGCTTTTCACGAGCCCCACTTTCCAAACTTCCCAACATTAGGAGACAGAAATCTTTGTCCCTGCTATTTTTTTATTAAAACTGAGGGGGAGGAAGTTTTTAAANCTATTAAACAGCCTAATTAATCCTAATTAAATAGAAAGTCATGGAACACTTCTCTTGACCAAAATAATTTCGAAATGCCCTTGTGCTGATGGCCTGTAATTTGCAGGATTCATTTTTCAAATGCAAAAAGACAGATGTCTTTGTCTCTGCTGCAAATGGCCTGGATAAATTAAAACTAATTGGGTTGATGTGGTTCTGATAATTGAATGAGATGCATGTAAAGCTTGGATGATGATGGAGGAAAGAATAACTCTTGATTTTTATAAATGAGAGGCAGCAAATGACAGAATCTTGAAGTCTATTAAAGGGTAAAATCAAGGAGTAACACAGAGAGGGGAAGGAAATGGTCACATTCAAAAAGGCAAAACAAAAAAGGGACAAAGTGTAGATGTGCCAGACTATTCAAGGTGCGTTCACGTGAATTCCTAAAATGCTTCCATATATAACAAATGTGATGTCCCCTCTCAAAATCCAACCTGATTGCCAAGATAATTCACAGGATTTCTGCTTTGGAAAATCAGATTACTAAAAGTCAATGTGCAAAAAAAGACAATATAGACTCACCCAGGAAGCTCAAAAAAATAAAGTGGTCTTTCACTTTTCCCCTCCTTTATTCCTCTTTCTCTAAATGGACAGAAAATGTGATGTTCCTGTGCAAATCCCTGGGCAGGTGGGTAGAGCTCAGCCATCCCTACAACAGGCAGAGGTGGAAAAAAAAAGAAAGAAAATGCAAAAAGGAAAAATTAACATAACAGCTTGAACATGGTTATTTGCAACAAGGCAGAAATCATAGAAGGTTTGGGTTGGAAGAGACCTTAAAGACCGTGTGAAGCACATTAAATCACGTTCATGATAATAACCAGCTTTCAACACTAGATTTGTTCTATTTGCAACAGAAAACAATCAATAAATATCATAAAACTACAATTTCTGGTGTTCCACTCAAGATAGCAATTCCACCACTACAACTTATGGTCACGGAGAGGGGAAAAGAAAAAAAATCAACACAAGAAATCTTCAAGCACGCTAAACCCAGGAATATAAAAGTTTAAATCACTAATATATTGAAGGAAGCTTATTTTTAGCCCAAATTTTGGTAGAGGTATTATCAGAAGTGCATTTACAGCTTCTCTTTCCATGCCAAATGTCTGTGAACAACTATTACCACAAATTTTAGACAGTTTACCCCCTAAATGGGTAAGAAGTGTCAGACAAAAGCTTTTCATGAGCCCCACTTTCCAAACTTCCCAACATTAGGAGACAGAAATCTTTGTCCCTGCTATTTTTTTATTAAAACTGAGGGGGAGGAAGTTTTAAAAAAAAAAAAAAAAACAACCAAAAACAAAAACAAAAGCCACAGTGGAGGAAATTAATAAAAGGCAAAAGTGTCAGCCACATTCAAACAGAATATGATGAAGGGAAAAAGATCTTTAAAGCTAAGAATGCTGCTGTGTCTGAGCATCCTAAAGATGTTGCCAAAAGACACCATTCAGGTAATTTCAAAAGTATAAAACTTCCCTAACAATCCACTAATATCCCCCCTGTTTGGCACCTCTCAGCTTGGCAACATAAAACTGCATTTGGACATACAAAATTCCATCTCTGGGCAAGAAAACTTTTATTGAATAAAAAAAAATAAAGAATAAAACAACCCTAAAAAAATAAAGAAGCACAAGACCAGTTTTCCTTTATTCTGTTGTTTCTTTGCACTAATAAAAAACCCAAAAGCAAGATATTTTTAAGAAGTTTTACTGACAACTTCACAAGATAATCCTTGGTAAATAATATCTGGAACAGCACCCAAAACAGCTCTTCTGCTTCTTGGTTTGGTGTGACACACAAAGGTGGAGAGAGAATTGAGTCCTTTCCACATTCACTGTAATGCAAGAACCTGTTGCTTATCCTCCAGAATTTCTTCCTCCTCATCCACTTGGCTTTCATCCCAGGCCCTTAAAAATAAACACACTCATTTTCAGCACCTGAGGTTACTCTGCTTTGAGCCTCAGTGGCAAAATGTTCAAATGGGTAGGAGCAAAAGGCAAAAAAATCAGCTTTTGGAGGAGTTTTTTCCAGCACACAAACTGGACAAGCTGCTGTATTGAACTTTTCCCCCTCGGTTTTTGTCACAAATCTCTGAGTCAGCTGAATTTCCATAGTGTGGAATTACCCTCAGGGTGTCTCTCTGACTCTTTTTAGTTCTGATATCATATTAAAAAAAAAAACACAAGTCCCAAAATTTATCATTTGGAGTCTCAACAACAAAATAAAGGCCTTAATTCTTAATCTGAGCTGCCTGAGAACTGGTTTAGGACACCAAGGAACAACACAGATCATGCTGACAATTGTAATAAGCAACAATCAGAAAGTTGAGACTGGTTTTATTTCAGTTCTGAGGTGATTTTTGGCACATTGAGCATTTTAAGACCTCATTAAAACACAGCAATTTAACCTACCCAAAAATATCAACCGTGTCATGGTCTTTCAGTTCCAGGTTCTGATGGCAATCTGTAGAATTCCCAAAGATCTTCTCCAAGGCTCTGCTGGAGGAGGTTCCATCTTCAAAAGTTGAGCTGGAAAGTTTTTCAGGACCTGAAATGTTTTAGGAACAAATATAGACAAAAAAATGCAGGATCTACATTATCAATTTTTTAAAAAAAATCCCAGAGTAGCAACAAAACGTTGCCATTAAATGTCTCAAAACAGCTCCAGCTGATAAAAAATGTCACTACACATCGATTTTGCTGAAGATTGTGAATTTAGAGACGTTAATAAAAAGGTTACAAGTACACTGGAAAGTAGCACCTCATACTTCACAAGGATCTTTCAGAAAATATAGATGATTTACATATTATGCACAATATTTGGAGGAAGGGAGACACTGTGAATGCGTGCAGAAAGCTTAAAACTTTGGTCCCTTCTTCTAATTTAAATTAACATGAATAAAAGACAGACACTTCCAAATGTTTTTCTAGGATTCAAAACTGACAGCTTTGATTCCTGCACCCAGAATTACTTCAATTAAAATGCCAAACTGGTTGCTTATGATGAGAGGAATAATGTAAAGTACATTTCTTGAGATGGAGACAGTTGAAATGGAGAAAGGTAAAGGAAGTGCAGGTGGAGCTGTGCATTTCTTGGCTCCTTGTTTCTTACAGCTCATGTAATAATGATGTCAGTAGCAAAGGAACCCTTTATGAGATCACACCCTTTTGTCCCAGAGACTGCAAACACACATTAATACATAAACCTGGGCTAGAGGAGTTTATTCCCTAAGTATTCAAGTTAAGAGGGGAGCAATGGAGTAGAAACAGAAGCAGAAATTAAGCACAATAAAAAGAATTAGTAGTGATGAAAACAATGCCATGTATATAAACCATTGTACCAAAATGCATATAACAATTACTTAAATTCAACAGAGTCAGCCCAGACAGTGTCTCTACATTTTACATCAGAAAAATTACCCTCAGCAGGTCCTTACCTGATCTCCACACCCCCACCTGAGGAGAATTTTTCCTTTGAGCCCTGAAGCCATTGGAGGGTCTGTTCAACTGCCTTTCCAAGACACCTTGAACCACAGAGTCCTCAGCATATTCACTTAAGCTCCTCTCAGAAACCCACTGCCCACCTCCTGAAATTAAAGAGTATCAGAGGAAACTGTTGTGTTAATCTGCATTTACTGGTCCCACATTTGCTGCATTTAACGTGTGTGATGCAAAGAAGCCGTGCAACAAATTTTCTACCCACACAGAACACGCTAAAAGCTTGATTTCAAGTGATCAAATTCACAGTGGTCACCAACCACCTCACGTGTTGTTTCTTACACACCTTTAAAAGCAACAGGAACCTCCTGGAACCAAATTGTCAGGGAATAAAAATAATTATATAAATACATCAATCTATGGCACTGGATTATCTAATTTACCTCAAGGTAGGAAGTTTTTTTTCTCCTTCCCCAACTCCAGTGTGTGCTGATGTGACTTAACCCTGGAATGACTTCCAAAAGGAAACACAGAGAGAAGGATCTCTGACAGCCACAGGGACAAATATGTGCATTTTTGAGGATTTTATTGGCATGCCAGTACCTGGCAAAGTGATGCTGCTGTCCCTAGGGCTGGAGGCAGCACTCAGGGAAGAAGGGGCTTCCAGGATTCCTTGTCTGGGGTTCGCACCTGCACCAAAGAAACCTTCGAGTCCCCGGTATGACGTGGAGAGAGATTTGGGTCTCCTGGCCACGTCCTGCAACTGGAATAAAACAGAGGTGTCAGGGACAGCAGAGGAAAGAGGAAACTTCACGTGTTGCAGGTTTAGGTTAATAAAATGCTCGTTTTATAGGGCTTGGAGTGATTTTGGTAGCCTGCTGGAATTCATAAGGATGGTGTTTTTGTACAAGATAGGCTTTAAAATCCTAAGAAACCTTCTCATGTTGAGAGAGTTTGAGTCTGTTCTTTCACTGGTTTTACTTTTGTGTACATCAGTGAGAGCAATCACTGTTTAATAGTGACTACAAATCAAAGTCACAACCCTTCCTAGGATTTTTCATTTTTAATTTTACTTTCAGCCAAAGAATATGGGAGGAATTTAAGCCAGGTAAAACTATCTACAATTTCTGGTCATTCAGCAGAGAGGTGAAGTAACCTCAACATTCACACAGTAAAAGCTGCTTCTCCCCAACAGCTTTTTTTTCTTGTCTGAGAGCAGATTGTTCTTTGCTTTTTTTAGCATTAACAGAAATTTGGCAATACAAAGTGGAAAGCAGAGAGACCTTCATCTCCTACACGTGAAATGTGGCAGGCAGAGAAAACCTTCTCATTAAAACTTGACTCTTGTGGCTTTGGGGTGGAATTTCTGGAGGAGAACGAGGTCAGGTGGTCAAGTATTGCATGGAAACCACACAACCACCACCATCTCTCAGCTGGTTCAGGAGCATGGTCTGGTGCCTCCTGCTAAAGCAACATCATTTATCTGCTGAGCAATCGGACATCACCACTTACTGGGGAAGATTTCTTAATTACAGGCAAGGCCAAACTGTGACTGTCACAGACACTGCCCAGTTCTTGGGACTCTTCCCTGGTTTCCTGCAGTTCTGTCTCAAGGTGGGTGTTGCCCTCCTCAGGTGCTTCACAGGAGCCCAGTGACCTCACAGTCTCTAGAAGTAAATATGAAATATATGGAAATAAATATGAATTATAACCTGCAAGTCCACTGTGTTTTCTTCATGAACTTCAGATGTAAAAAACTCCATTAAAGAACTGCAATAGGAGCAATTTCATAAATTTCATAAAATGTCTTTAAAAGCAGGCTGATGGTTTGAAATCCACCCTATCAGGCTGTGAATGATTCTGCAAGCTGAATTTCTCTGTTTATACAAGACACAGACATTTTACTTTTTACCCTGTGCCCACAGAAGCAAAGAAATCCCATCTCATTAGTCAGCTCTTGTTTGGTTTTTTCATATTTGAAGGCTTAAAACGAGCAGTTTCTTGAACTAAACACAAAGAGAACAAGTGCCAGGTCTGGAAGTGCTGGAGCAAATGTTTGGGACTGGCAAGAACACGAAATGAATCACCCTTAAATTCTAAGTTATTTCTAAATATTAAAGAAGGGACTGGGGTTTTTTTTTTACATGGCTTTAGGACACAGAGTAAGATCTGTGGGATCCTTTAAGAATGCCACAAAATAAAGCTGGCAAATTTTCCCAGTGATTTCCCTGGTACACAATTGGATTATTTAAACACAAATGATGGTCTTTCATGCACAACTGGTAATCATTTATGCAGTTTCTCAACCTGTCTATATAGAAGTTTTTTATACTTCAAAAGCAGACATGCTATAAATTAGATTTAATACAGATAAACTGACTTGAAAATGACCTGCTTCATAAGGGGTTTATTTTCAGTATCCAACTTACATTGGGGCAGTTTTTTCCTCAACTACAAGGTCAGAAAAGGAAGATTTCTGTCAGTGATACCCATCATTTCAAAATTGCTCTCAGAGCTCATCAAATTGTAATTAAAGGACCTGATAGCTCAGAGAAGAGGACATTATTTAACTTTAATTATTTTTCACACAACCATCATAGTTGACTCCCACATTCTACATGAGAAGGATAAGCTGTACGTATTTATTTATTTATTTATTGTCCAAACAATAACTTTCCAAATTTACCTTGAGAAATTTCCAGAGAAGAAACAGGATTTCTGTAAAGAGGAAAAGGTAAAAAACATTTGAGTGTCAGCTGTGGGAGTTCAACAACAAGAAGACTTTCTCACACCCTTTGTCTTGGCCAAAGGTCTGGTCTGCAACTGCTGGACAGCTTTGAAAGGGAAGGAGGAAAGACCAGGAGAATAAAATACAGCAAAACAGGTCACAGCTGATCAGTTTGGGGAGATGAGAATTGCAGATGTATCAGTAATTATGGACTCTTATTTTTGTATGGAATTACAAAGTTAGTCAAGTGAGAACGTCTAAAAAGGGCACAGCACTGAGTAATGACAGATCTTGTAGGTGAGCTCCTGTTTCTGCTGAGATTGGAGCTTAGAAAAGAGAAATTCCACCTGGAATTCATGGCAGGCACATGGAAAGAAATGTATCTTACATGGGTTAACACTGCAGCGATCAGAGAAACCAAATGAAGGCATTTCAAAGTGATGCCTCTCTAATTACAGGCAATTAACGTTCTGCAGTGGCTTTAAAACAATGTATTAATGACTCATAAAATGTGATTGACTGCAAAGAAAAGCCCCCTTTTCTCAGGGATGTGACTAAAGCACAGGATGGGATGATTTCCTTTTCTCTTGCCCAGAATCTCTGCATTTCTGATACCTTCCACACCGCTCCAGTGCTTCTGTGTGGCCTTGTTTATTCACTCCCTCAGCCCCAGTTTCCACCACCAAATAGCTGGATGATTCTTCCAAGTCTGTGCTGCGAGACTGAACAAAAACCAAAAACATCCACGTTCAGCAAGAGATTAAAATGTCAAGAAAAAGTCAAGTAACTCAAGTGATTAAAAGCTTGAAGACTTCATCTGTGTGTAATTTCTATATAGTGCAGGTCCCTGGACAGACCAGGAAAAAATACAGGGAAATTTTGGAAAGATAAATTTGCCACGTTTGTATGCAAAAGATAAACCCATATTTTTTTTAATACTGGAAATCATTTATTAAAATACTTTAAATATTTAAACATATCAAGATTTTTAAAAAATCACTTCAGATGACTGAAGATTCAAGAAGTCCTTTATTACACACTTACATCATCAAGGAACTCAATTTTCAAAGAGGACTCTGACTCTGCACTTTCAGAAGGGGTGTTGGATTCTTCCACTTTAAAAAGAGATGCCCAAAACCTCTTCATCTCTTCCACTAGGAAATATAATTAATTTCATGCATTCATTTTTTTTTCCTGTTTGAATTACACTTACAAAAATGCAAACTTTTATTTATTTTGAAGTACCACAAATTTCTCCTGACATTATAGTTACTTTAAGTAGAATCCTCTCCAGTGTGTTCAGCAATCATAGCAAAATAAATAATAAAAAAAAAAAGATATTATTTAGATTCAGTGAACAGAAATTTGTCACACCTGAAAAGTCATCCATATCATCATCATCATCATCACTTCCTCCTCCAGTCCCGGCCTGATGGACACTCAGGGTTTGCACAGGCTCTAAATCTCTCAGGCAACTCTCAGGAAGTTGATCAACAGGACTTCTGAAAAAGGAGAAGAAATCAACCTTAAAAAGTCATAATTACATTATATATATATATATATATATATATATAAAATATCACAGTTCCTTAAAACAACAAAAAAGGAGAAAACTTAACTAACTCTTCCTAATTTCACTGAGTGAGCAACAAAACAACTCTGCAACATTTCTAAAAGCATCCTGATGCTCCTGCCTCCTTTTCTCTAAAAAACTCCTGTAGCAAATGCCCCCCCCAAAAAAAATAAAAAATCAAGCAATCAAATATCATTATCAGTCTTCAAACTCTACAGTAAATTGAGAGCAAAGAGAGTCCCTCCAAATACTCCCCCTGCAGTAATTCTGAATTATTAAACCATCAAGTCAGGCTATGATGGTTATTTTATTAAAATAAAGCACTCTCTGTACACTCCCCTTAACTCTTGATAATGTACCTAATATTTGAGAAGTTTCAAGGGGATTTTTGGGAATGCCATGAAGTGTTTCTGAGCTTTCCCATTCAATACCTTCTGTATTTCTTCAGCAGGAGTTTCTCCATGTAGCTCAGGCCATCCTTCTTGAATTCCACCTGCATGGGTTCCTCCAGAACTGTAACACTGGTCTGGACCTCACAAATTCCAACAGATTCTATTGGAATTATAAAAAAAAATATATATATATATATACAGATGTTCAGGCTCATAGATTTGTTACTTCCCTACATTATTCTTGAGTGAACAACAGATTGGTAGCCTGTCCCTCACTGAGCCTTTGCATAATTCCAAAATAAAAGAGGTCAGGAAAATATTATTTTGTACAAAAACACAGAGAGAACAAACACCATCCACAGACTAGAGGAACAAGGCCAGCTTGCACAAATCCAATCAGAAAAGAGGATTTTTTTTCCCCATTTTTCCATACATGCTTTAGCTGATTGCAGCTGTTCATTAGGACAAAGAAATATTAAGAGCCTGTGGAAGGCAAGCAAGAAATGTACTTTGCTAGAATACAGAAAATCCTCAGTTAAAAGCTGCTTGAGCACTGCAGGTCACATTAAAGTGTCCTGTGAGAAACAAGGCCAGAGAAAGGGACACGAGGCAATGCCACAGCTGAGAAACAAAAACTGGGATAAACATTAACCTGCATGTTATTAAGATTAAAAAAAAACAACCTTCAGAGGTTGTTATTGATAAAGGGACACAGAGAGAAAAACTGAGAAAACACTTGTTGTTCTAACAGAAGATCTCCCTTCACCAATCAAAAACCTGCCAGCTCACCCAATTGGCTCGTTAAAATGGAATTAAACCAGAACAAATCCCACCTGCTGGCACCTCCCTGGCTGGCACTTGTTCCCTGGGATCACTCCTCCCCTTCCTCCACTGCAGCAAAGCTTCCTGGAAAGACTTGGCAGATTCCTCCTCGTTGTATGAGCCATTTAACAATAACCCTCTGTCCTCATTTCCAGGGCCTGCACAGGTTGATTCCGAGGGTGGTTCCTAAAGCATCATAATTAACAAAGCACTGGTGATGACAATTCTCTCCCCAGCAATGTTTTTCATGTCCCCTGTGGAAATTCAAGATGATCACTCGTGCTCTTACAACTAAATTGGAACATTTTATCAAGAGCTAAATAAGAAAAACTAAGAAGTTTGTATAAGCACACACAAAAAAACCACCAAAACACTTTTAAATGCTTCTAATAGCAGAGAGCAGTGGTTATGAATAGCCCACATCCCATGGATAGGATAAACAGCCATGGATAGCCCACATCCCATGGATAGGGTAGATTAAATGAGGCATTTTATGCACCACGTCTCATTTAAACCAATTTATGAGCTGTGCACTTTATTAATGAAGTTCTACTCATTGAAGAAGCTTCACAGCAGACAGGAGCACATCTGCAGAGGTCAAGAAGAGGAAAATGTTCCTCAGGAGTCACTGGAACACCAGTTCAGGCATTAGAAAAGCATTCCACGGAAGCCCATACTATAAAGAACTAGATGAGATTGACTGAGAAGAGTTACAAAAGGAGAATAACAAGTTTTACAATGGGATTCTGCTGCTTTGCAACCTTCATTTGAACAAACAAAACTACTGTGGAAAGTTCTGATGACCAACTCTTGAACGATTATCAAGCAAAACCAAGAAATATTTCACGTTCACCCTTTCTTTCCCCTACACACGGAGGTCAGAAGGAACGACCCAACGCCAAAGCAGAGCTCGTGTTCTTCCCACGAAAGCTGCAAAGGTACAGGCAGAAAGTGCCACGAGAAAGAGTCAAGAGCAGCCACTACAGAAGAGGATCAGAAGAGGAAGGTGCTCACATCACATCTCCTATCCTCCTGCTCTCTGCCATCATCCACCCAGCCACTTGGCAGCTGCTGGTTGCACATTAAACGATCCTCATGGCTCGCCCCGAGCCTGCAGGCACACGAGCCACTTCCCAAAGCTGTTCCTTGTTTCCTTTGGCACTTCCCTCTGATCCTTCCGAGCGCGGCTCGGGTTTTATGAACGCGTGGTTCGTGGGATCAGCGAGAAGCGCTCGAAAGAAGGCAGCCCCTTCGCCTGACGCGGGGCCAGCAAATCGTGGTTCAATTCGCCGGGAAAGGAAGGATTTCTATCCCAGTTTATCCCCCCCAGCCCGGGGTTTGGGAGCGCTCCGGGACGGCGGCGCTCGGAGCGTCCCGCGGGGCCGCAGCTCCGCCTGGCGGACATGCCTGGAAGTGCAGCCCCGCTCCCGGGATCCTCAAAAATCCTTCGGGATCCTCAAACATCCCCCGGGGAAAAAACACCAAACCACGCCCGTGGGGATGCGCAGATTCACCGTTTATTCTCTGTTGGCGGAGCACTCATGAAACTGGGAAGAGGGCATGAAAAAAAATATTAAAGAAGCAAAATCCCATTGTCACCGATGCCGGGAATTTCAAATCCACGGGGACATTTTTTTGCAAGGAAAGCCATCAAAAGACACGCACAAAGTATCTGTTCCACCTGTTTTGAGTGTTGGCAGCTCCAACCGGTTTAATTTGCCACAAAAGCAACGGAAATAAATCACAGCGTGACCCCACAGGGGAGGGGGGATCTTTCTAAGTGAGGTGATACCTTTTATTTTCTTATTGAAGAGTTGAACTACTCTAACGAAAGTCAGTTCAAAAATCAAATAGTATGAAGCTACACCACACTTTGGAGGCCAGGTTTCCTATTAGAACTTTCTAAAGGGCAAAGTTTATTAAATATAAGCCACCTCATACTTGATAACAGTAATTTCCACTCTAACACAGCAAGTGCCAGCTTGGAAAGCACTTTTGGAAAGCACAATTCAGCACGTGCCCTGGTCCTTATCAGAGTATTTAAAGCTACAAAATATTCATGGACCACTCAGTTTTGCCCTGTTCGCCTGTATTATGTGTCTTAGTTTAATCACAGAGTGGGTTTCTTTAGTTAAGTAAGAATCTTCTCCAGTCACGTTCACGTGCTGTGCAAATTCATAAAAATGCAGCTTAAGGAAATCCTTTGGCTGTTGCCAAGTTAAGAACTGGTCACAGTTGTGGTAACAAAATAATTTCATCTGTTTCCTTTCATTCAGGGAGATCAGTGCATAAAAGCTCCCTTAGGGGTAATAAATAGTTACCCATACAGGCTTTGTCTCTGTATCACCAACGTGCTTTGGGAAATAGATGAGAAAAACTCTTATATTTTAATTTCAATTCCAGAAAAGGAAGATCTTTAACTAATGTAGGATCAAATTCATCTCAAATGTTTAAGTAGTTTTCTCCTCTTTGGAAGTTGCTGCATGGTCACTATGGCACCTCAGCCTGGCCAGACCCAAGGAAATTCATTTTACAACATTATAACAATATATAATAAATGTCTGTCTCCATACTGCCACAAAGCACTTCTATCCACATTATATTGTGTTGCTGGAGAGGAATTTTTTAACCATTCACTTACCAGCAGCACACTCTTCATTTCAGATAGCACCCTCTCCACTTCAGAGTTTTTATGTGCTACAGCATTTTCCATTTCAGGTTTAAATTGTCCTTTCACTGGCTCTGAAAAACAACAAACAATTAAAAAACCAACAAACAATTAAAAAACCAACAAACAATTAAAAAACCAACAAACAATTAAAAAACCAACAAACAATTAAAAAACCAAACTAATCCAGTATTCCAGTCTGTGATTTCTTTATGGCTTAATTTCAGGAACCTCCAAGAACAGATAATCAACCAGCAAACGGAGAAACTTTATTTAGTTAAGAAAAATGTCTTTACCTTGAATCTGGTCTTTGAGTATTTGCAGCTTTACTTTTCCTGAAGAAACCTACATGGAAGAAAATATCTATACATAAAATGATATACATATCTACACATAAAATGAAAATGAATCAAAGAGTAACTTTCATAGAAGGAAAATGTTGCTGTTTCTAGGAAAGTAGCCAGGCATGTATGTGAAGAGAAAATTCCATGTATTGCTCATGACAGCCCTGAAATGATGTTGTCCTTGTTTGCCCAGCCAGGAATGCTCTCCAGAACATTCCATAATGCAGAATTTCTCCCATAACCACGGTGACCTGAACTCAGATGTCAACCAGTGCTGTCCTCTGCACATAACAACCTGCACACTCACACCCACCCATGTTTGAGGGGGGAGGTCTCAGCCTCTTTTCCTTCTGCTTCTCCTCATGACCCTCCTGACTGGTGATTTGGCAGCCCAGTAATTAATAATTGTCATCGTTGCTCCTCACCTTTTCCCTGCAGAGTCCACACTGAATCCTCGCTGCCCCTCACTCACCCCTTGCTTTGATTTCACCCTTTTGAACCTTCTGCCCCCTCTCAGCCATCAGAGCTGAAATGTGGAGTCTTTTGAAGCAGCAACAGCTTTGAGTTACTCATCTCAGAGAAAGGGAAAGGGAAGGAGGTGGGTTAAAGAAAACCTTTTTATTTTATTGGAATTGAGTGTGTTGGCTGAGAGGACCTCCTTGCCCAAGCGCTGCTGCTTCAAAAGGCTTCAAACAGCAACTGTGATGGCTCAGCCTGAGGTTGTCATTGTCTGCTCTTCTCTCCAGCCTCATCCCAGCTTTATTTCAGCCACTTCCAAGTGGTCTGTGTTAATTAACAGCTCTCATTTCAACCCAGCAAGGCTTCCAGCAAAAAAAAAAGCACGAGAGAAAACTTCTTTTTCAAGTCCCACTCAGGCCAATTTGTGCCTCTGCAGACACATCTGTGCCTGCTAAAGCAAAGAGGAAGCATCTCCAAGCTGAATTCCTTTGGACTGGGGGATCCCCTGTAGATTTTTCACAGAGGAAGTGAAGAACACGAGCTCTGTTATCACAACTGGGATTTCACCAGCACTGGTGAACATGATTTGCTGACAGACACACCTAATACCTCCTTCCATGATGCACAAAGCCTCGAGGACAGGAGCCTAAGCTATTAAAATACACTGATTTCACCAAAGAATGAAATATTAAGACCAGCTCATTGCAGCTGGAAGTGATAACACTCCCTACAAGGTTCAGGCTTCAGCTGCTTACAAATTTGACCAGCTTTTATCATTCCCAAATGTCTGCCTTTACCCTGAACATTTTCTAAAGAGTGTCAGCAAAATTGCCCTTGTCTATTCCAAAAGGGAATAAGGGAAAATAAATACCCCAATGAGTGAATATTTAAAAAGAAAAGCCACTTTTTAATTCTTACAATATTAAACCTGTAGAAGCAATGACAATTTGCTGCCTATCACAGTTAAGAACACAACAGATCACCCAATAGAACTTTATGTTCCCCCAGCTCAAAGGGAACCATAAGCTTGGCATGGAAAAATAAACAATTTTACTCAGAAGGTACTTAACGTTTCGTTATTTTTTATAGCATTTAAAATTCCCACGTTATGCAGCATAAGCCTAATTCTAAATCTGGTTTTGTTTCAAATAGCTTTACTTGCAAATATAGTTTAATACCTTTTTCCAGTTTTCTTTACTTTGTGACAAAACTGGGGCTTGGATGGTCATTGGTCCTGCCTGTCCAGATTTCCAGTGATAAGCACTTAATTTCCTGTGAACCAAGAGCAAGAAAAAAAAAACACAACTCACAAATTATGTCTTCTGGAAGCAACATAAAGGTTTTCCTTCAGGTTTTTAACTATGAACAGAACATCACAAAAATCAAATACTTCTCCAGAGGACCATCGATTCCCCAAAACACACACACCTCCTCCACGTTGCAACCTGCCTCACATCTACTTTAACAGCAGTAAATGCATCAAGGATTTGCATCTCCAGTGACACAGCACACACAAAGAAATGGCAGCAGATGTTGCAGGGATTTGCCAGCATTCAGAGTGATGAGCCACAGAGAGATTTAAAACTTCCACCCCAGCATTTGCTTCATTCCACTGGGCTTCCTGCCCAAGCCTTGTTTGCCATCACGCAGAAGATGCAGCTCTGGAGCTGCACAGGTGCATGAAAAACGGGATCAAAGCAATGGTGAGAACAGAATCCCCCTCAGGAACTGCAGAAATGAGACTCAAATGGTGCAAGAGCAACTACTGTCTGCCTCCTGCTTAGAAATTAAGGGGGCAAACCCAGTCAGAGAGCAGAAAAGGGAGAGGTAATAACTGAGGAAAAAAGGATCAAACGTCACATAAAAAATAAAAATTAAAAATAAAGCCATAGGGAAGCAAGGTTACCATTGGGAAGAGAAATTGCAGAGACTGTGAATTCACTACTGTGAATTCCAAACTTTGCAGGAGAACCCATCTGGGGCAGGGGAAGGTGTAGGGGGAGCATCTCACTGAATTCCATTTTTCCACACAGAAATCCCACCTACTTTCTCTCCTCTTTCTCTCTGCTCATGTTTGACTGGAGTTGCTGTAATTTCTTCTCCATCTCTTTGTTTTCTGTCTCTAACTGCACTTTCTCCAGCTGCAACTCTCTGATGGTTCTGGAGGAGTTAAAACAGCAAAACATTGATCAGAAATTACAGGAAGGCGAGTGAGGCACCTGAAGAAGTCTAAAGCAGCAAAAGTCACTCTTCTATCTCCCACCAAGACTGAAAACAGTTCTGGAAAAGAGTTGTGACAGTGACAGGGCTACTCCAAAATGAGCTTTAGGGTGGCCAGCACAAAAGCCATACAACTGTGCCTGTGCTCAGGAAGGTTTGTTGTTTAATTATATTAAAATAAACCATCCCAGTGACTTCTTTAGTATTGTTTGTATTGTATATTAGATACACAGAGTTATAAAACCTTGAACTCAATCAGAAAGTAAATTAAAGCCTAAGAAAAGATTAAGGACAAAAGCATAGGGAAAATGGTAGAAAATGATTCTTCTTGTTGGGGCACAAATAAGCTCTTCTATTTAATGTTGCACTGAAAGTTATTAAAAGTTATGGCAACACAACTCAGTCCCAATCAGACAGAATGCACTTACTTTGTTTTTAATCTCACTGAGGTTCCAGTTTTTGAGCCTGGGAGTATCACAAAATCATTGATGTTCATGATACCCAGTATAACTTCTTCTGAAGGAGAGAATTTCAGTGATCTACCTGCTGAAATGGGAATTTAAATGAAATTAAAACAGAAAAAAACTCATTAAATATTCAAAATATTCACGTATAGGTGAGAAAAATGAAGCCCAGAACTTGTTTATATGAAGTACCAATAAAATCCTAGAGCAACCCTAAATTAAATTTAACTGGGAAAAAAAAAAACAAGCCTTTTTATTACTTTTATGATACCAGGGAAAAGATTTTCTTGTCTTTCATTTGGGCAATTCCCTAAAGTTCAGTGCAAGCAGTTTTAGTATTAAATAAAACAATAAAAATGAACCAAACCCTCAGAAAGCACGAAGAAGGAGAAAATTGTACCAACGGCTACAAAGTCAAAGCATCTCAGCTGACCTGGGAAGATAAATTCCTTCTGTCATGAACAAAGTGGTACAAAATAAGACAAGAAGTCACAGAGCAGAGTTACTCCCTACTCTCAAGACTTCAAGACAATGCTATTTCAAACATATTTTTTTTTCCCATGTTGCAAAATACTCTTCCAAAAAGCAAGTTCATCCAACGCAGAGTCCAAACCGAACATCCAGATCCAACCTGGGCTGGAGTATTGGCAGGATAACCAGACTGAGCTCAGTGCCTAAACTGAGTAGTTACTGGGATGCATAAGGAAAAAAACCTGGATAATCTGGAGATTTGCAGCTCCCAGGGTGTTTGGGAACTGCCCTTCAGCTGTTGGGTCTCCAGTGCCCAGTGAAAGCAGCACCAAACTGCAACGACGTGGAGAAGTTTGGGTTTGAAATCCATCAAATGTAAAACTGAGCTCAAGGGCAAAAGCTTTGCTGCCTGTTCACACACAGCCTGAAAATGAGCATTAATAGTTAAGATGTGGCCAAATAACACCCCCAGCCACGAGGCAAAGCACCACTCCATGGCATCCTGCAGATAGTTAAACACCTGGTGCCACAGAGCCCCAAACAATGACATTTCAGTGCTGACAGAAGGTGTGCACAAAACACGTTTCTTATTGTGTCAGAAAAAACCCCCACAAACCACTCAATCCTAACTTCAGGTCAAAACAATTGTTCTTTTATTACCTTCTAAGATAAAACAAGATTTTATTGACTTTGAACAGAAGGAAGTTCCCCTCTTGCAAATGTGTGTTAGCAGGACCGGTACAACTGGACAAGAAGAGGGAACACTCTGGGTTTGAGGGAGCCCAAAGGATATTTATTAGTAAAAAAGAATTTATTTAATAACTATTAGAGCACAATCTTATTTTTTTCAAGAAGAGCTGTTCAACACTGAGACTGTAGCAGTCAAACAATTAAACAAACCCCATGGGGAAATAGGCACCCTCAGCTTGTAAAACATCCTGAAGTATCCATGGGATGGGCGCTCAGGACTGACAGGGGAGATCACCAAAGGCAACCCCAAACTCCTCAGCCACAGACTCCTTATTGAAATACAGACAGGAGTTCCTTTTTTTTTCCTGTCTGCTTTTTGTTTAATGAATCCATTTTCTCTCACTAATAGGTAACACAATTTGCCAGTGAGGCAAACAGTAAAGCAACTCATCAAGGTAAATAAATCAAGCATTAATTAGCCACATCCTTTCTGCCTGCTCTTCCACACACCCTGTACTCAAATTTCATCATTCTAGCAGGTTCCTCTGTGCTAATGGATATAAAGTGCCACTGAACAAAACAAACACTGGTGTTTTGGCTAAATGAAATTTAATTTAACTTTAAAGCCTGCATAGCTAAATGAACCCAAATTCCACATACCCTGTATCTCAGCTTAGCTCACATCTTTCTAATCAATTTAAGGATGGGTTTATAACTCAAAGACAGCCCAAGATGGGTGCAGTTTATTTCAGACTACAAGAGTTTAACTAGAGCAGACTAAATTCCAACAGCTTTCTCACATCAATAAACCCATAAAATCCGAAGGGATACTACTGTATATGTAATAGCTCACATCCAATTATTGTAACCATGAACACGGATTTCATGCTACACTGAGTCCTATCCACTTACCAATAATTCAAACCCAACTCTTTCCTTTGAAGAGGAATTCTAGGTGTAATAAAGAATTTGCCTGTCATTGCTCCCCACTCATTTGCTGTTAACTACAGCAACTGAGACGCCTCAGACTTGTGGTCCTTTCAAACATTTAACATTTCATTAGCTACTTTAAAAAAAAAAAACACAAACAAAAACAAAATTAAAAAAAAAGAGTGATATTAAAGAAAACCCCCCACCACTCAAACTTTGATTGCCTTGTTAATCTGCCAGTCTAAATCCAGCAGCCAGGTACGCCAATGGAATCGCCGCGAGAACAGTTTCTGTCTCTCCAAGCAGTCTACTAAAAAAGAAAAAAAAAAAACACATTACCAAGAGTGTTTGTGGAGATAAATGCCTCCTTACCCACACTGTACAGCTACACTAAGTGCCCTGTGAGCTGCAGAATCTGCCCGGAGGAAGCAGAGCAGGGGGAGCAGCAGGAGGGGCAACAAATAAATAAATTTATGGAATAAGCGGAGCAGAGTCAGTACTTGCCTTCAAAGCTTCCCTCAGACTCTCGCGTGTGCGGAGCAGTCGGTCCGGACGGAAAACTCAGCCCTAGGGAAACACAGAGCGCACAGGGGTCAGGCAGAAAATAAAGCTGTAAAAGCCCCCACAGCAGAGCAGCGGGGTTGGGGTTTTTATTGCGTTACCGAGGGCTCAGTTTTCCGAGAGTGATGAACGGTGGGAAGCGCAGGGAAGAAGGGGAGCGCCCAGAACTGTAACCTAAAACTAGAGAGCAGTGAGTGGAGAAATAAAGAGCAGTGAGGGGGGAGAATAAAGAGCAGCGACTTGGGAACACCAAGTCCCACTGTCCGGGGACAATTTGGGGGCACTTCCCCCTGTCCCAGGCGCTCCCTCAGCCCTGGGGCGGGGGCGGCAGCGCCGGGGCGGGACGCGCTGGCTGAGGGTCCCCTGAGGGGATGCTCCAGGGTCCCCCCGCCGGCTGTGAGGGCTCAGCCCCGCGGGGAAAATCCTAATCCCGATCCCGGTTCCAACCCCGATCCCACTCCCGGTGCCGCCGCCGTTCCCATGGCAGCGCGGGCCGCGGGACAGCCCATTCGGCTCCGCGGGGGGGACGGGACTCGGGAGAGACCATTCCGTGCGGGGCTGAGGGGAGCGGCCGCCCTGTGGGACCGCAGCGAGCCCCTCGGCGCTGTGAGGCCGCGAACGCCTTCGGCTAAATTTGCGGAGTGGTAAAATTGTCAGGGTTGAAGAGTTCTTTAAAGTCATCCAGTCCAACCGTCCACCAAGCGCCTCCACTGTGACCCCGAAAGAACATCGCCCAGCGCCAGATCCCGCTCCTCATGGACGCCCCCAGGGATGGAGGCTCCAGCACCTCCCTGGGCAACCCATTCCAAGCCTCAACATCCCATCAGGGAACATTTTTCATCTAATACATAGAACATGAATCTTTCCTGCCTCAGCTTGAGGCCCTTTCCTCTGGTCCTCTCACTGCAGACACAGCAGAAGTGACCTGCCATCACCCGACCGCAACCTGCTCTCAGGTGGTTGTGGAAAACAACGAGATCCCTCCTGAGCCTCCTCTTCTCCAGATTAAATACACCCAGGTCCCTCAGCTGTTCCTCATAAGATGTAAAAAAATTAAACCCTGGGCCCAGAAGGCCTCTTGTGATCTCAGTCCCTCAGGTGTCCAGGGGCTGCTCTATCATTTCCAACCCAGCAGTGTCTCCGTGGTGCTCCAAGAGCTCCATCACTGAAGGGATGCAAAGCCCAGACCTTGGTGCTCCCACCCTGGACAAGGCTCAGCTTTTCACTCAGTGGCTTTAAAGCTCATCCTTAAAATCCCTGTGCATCCAGGAGACTCAGCGCTGCTGCATCACCCACACCACCAGGAGATACCAGAGTGAGACCCCCCAGACCCTGAGACACAGGAACACCCAGCACTTCCACCCGCTGAGCTTTCAGGACATACTTTATTACATGGGGTTTTTTTCCCCACAACAAGTGCAAAGGGTCTTACCCAGTGAAAACAAAAATGCATGGCTGGTGCTCCCACACTGGTGCTTGTGGGAAGTGCGTCCCCCACAGCAGAAGTGGTAGGGGATGCCCTGGAAAGCACAGAAAGGAGGAATGACCTCATATTTTACTGCCTGTCCTCCCTGTAAGCAATTAAAGGGTTTCACGGAACCATAAAATCCCAGAATGGTTTGGGTTGTAAGAGACCTTAAAGCTGATCTACTTCCAGACTCCTGCCACGGGCAAGGACACCTTCCACTAGCCCAGGTTGCTCCAAGCCCTGTCCAACCTGGCCTTGGACACTTCCAGGGACGGGGCAGCCACAGCTACTCTGGGCAACCTGTTCCTTTGTCTCCTCACCCTCTGAGTAAAGAATTTATTCCTGACATCTAATCTAAACCTGCCTTCTTTCAGTTTAAAACCCTTGCCCTTTGTCCTGTCACTGTCTGCCCTTATAAAAAGGTCTCTCCCTCCTTTTTATAAGTCACTTCCCATCCCCTTTCAACCTTTATTCCCAAAGCGCTGCAAAACACACCTCTGTTTATCTTTGAGTCCAGGCTCTTCTGTTTTCATTCTAACTTGTTATTTATTCACAATTTTGTCTCTGGAAGAACCAATATACTCTCCCTGCTGATTTAGTGCCACGCTTTAAGCAGCTAAATCTAAATCAACTGAGTGCAAGGAGCCTTCAAACAGCTTTTCATACCAGTTATCCCATTATCCACACAAACCTTTAGTTAGTGCTCAGGACCCAGAGCTACACAGGGCTCCTTGTGATGTTTAACTTTTCAGAGAAGCTCTTTTTATGCCCACCCTGCAGATATGTGCAGTTGTAGATCTGTGCACACGTCTTGGCTCTTCCAGAGCAGGTATTTATGTGTCTGCCAATAAACAATAACTCCCACACCATCCCCTCAAAGGATACCTGGAGTGCATGGCAAGATTAAAGTTTTTATCACTCAGATTGTTTCAGTTCATCTGCTTCGAGTCTTGTCCTCCCAGTTTTGGTGGCTACACCATTGTTTATAATTGATGCTGCTTTAGGGAAAAACAATCTTTGAAAAAAAAAAAAAAACCCAACCCTGGTGTTTCAGGGAAAAGCTCTCTGTGATCCAAGCCAAGCTTTAATAAGTACAAAGTATTATCTGTTTGAAATGTATGCAACTCTGAGCTGTATTTCATTTGGCAAATTTGCATTTGTCCCATATGTATGCAAGCTAGGAGGCAAAAAATAACTTACACCGTTTTTCTTGACTGTATCATCTGTCTGGCAGCAATTTTCCTTCATCATCCTGGTTACTGTGCAGTTTTCAAGATTTTTACCCTGACAGGCAACTTGTGTGGAGAGCCTGTGGAAACACATATGGATTTATGGATTTTTTTTTTTTTCATCTTGAGAAGGAGCTGGAGTTTGCACACTGTGTATCATAATCTGCAAATATTCCGTGTTCTGGGCCTTATTTGGAGTGTTGTTTTGTAGTTTTTAAACATGTTCTTTCCTGTTGGAAAATCATTTTCTTAGTAGCTTAGTCCATGAATATAGTTTTTAATATTCTATAATAATGCCTTACTGAAAGGCACCTCATTGTGCATACACACCTGTCATTTTTAAAGAACGTAGAAGAAATATGGTATTCTATATAAATTATGTTACAATACTCCAGATTAATCACAAAGTTTCCACTAGGAAAAAATGCAGTTTTAGATGTAAAATAATTTTCTGCAGAAAGACTGGCATTCAGCTTCCAAAACTTAAATGCTTCAAAGTGACTTTGTGAGCTTTGGATCAAGTGCTGCAGCTGGAAGAGTATCAAGAGCCTGTTTTGTTGAGGTTTGGCCCATTAGATTTACATACATGGGAGATGAAGTCATGCAGGAGTGATGGTGGCATATTTATAATTAGATTTTTTAACTTTCAGCCATTTTACGTCTCCTCTGGTGTTCAGCTCTATTTTTTTTATTATATTTACTTAGATCTGATTTTCATAAACACAATTTCCTATTTTTGCAATCAGCTTTCAGAAATTAGGATCACACAAAATTAATGAGCGCGTGCCTAATTTCTACCAAAGTCACTTTTTTATTGGAAGTAAATGCAAAGTTTATACAGAAAAGAACAACTGAAATTCAACTCAAATCCATCTGGTGGAGTTGTGCTATAAGTTATAAACCTTCTGTGTTTCTTAAGGCTCTTCCTGTTGCTCTTCTCTTCCTTTGTTCTCCGGCTGCTCCTGACAACAAGGAGAGCAGATTTATGAGCCTCGGGGGGTTTGGCATCCCTATTAAAATATTTTTTAACTGTTTATGAAACTCTGGATTTAAAGCTCCCTTTGGAACAGCTGAGCACAGAGGTGACTGAGGGACTGACTGACCAAGGCTGACTTGGAGGGGTTTGTTCCAACCCGCATCCCTTCTTTGATTTGCAACCCCTTAAATGTCTTTCAAGGTGAGGTTCCAGATCAAGATTTCAAGCTCTCTGAGGTTGCAGAGCTGTGAGTTATGTTAACACTGGAAATGAAGAAGGATCAGGAAATATAATTTCATTTTTTTCCCAGGCTGCCTTTGATCACTTCCCACAAATAGCCGTGCAGTTCAAATTCCACTTCCATGACCATTTACCAAAAGCCAGTTTCAAGATCTCATAAACCAGCATTTGCAGGAAATGGACTTTTAATTTGGTCTGGAACTGCTTATTCTTATAACCAGTCAAAAATAGAAGCAACATCATTTTACTTACCTGATGACTTACCATGGCCACTGATACACTTCCAATAAAAGCAGGGTATTTTTAGTCCTCAAGAGGAGATTGTGTTACTTATTAGGGGTGAATTATTTGCTCCATTTTGTCAATACAGCAAGAGCCCAGTTTTCCTTCTTCCTCCAGTATTTTTGGCTGCAGATACATGTATGGAATCAAAGCTACTAATCAGATATTATTCCTTTAGTGACAGCAGATCCCATTTAAGATGGGAAATTTTTTAAGATGGGAAATTTTTTAAGATGCGAAATTTTTTGCGAGATCAGGTGAACTCAGGTTTCATCACCAAGTTTTCAAGTGGGTCCATAACCTGCAGCCTCCACATCTGAAGGTAAAGGAGGTTGACACCTAAAAAGAGAAGCACTTTTCAGTAATAACTGGAAGGGATTATGTTCAGTGCTTCCCCTGAATGCAGCTGCTGGGTGGTGTATTATTTGTTCACTTTATTAGGATAAAAAAAAAAAAGTGAACTTGTCTTAAGCCATTCAGGTTTAAGATAGGCTTTGCTCCCTGGTTGGAGGGAAAGATTAGCACTTATTAGAGCCTAATCTTAATGATATCCATTTATAAATAGGGCTTCAAATTGTCTAAAATATTTAAACATGATGAAATGGAAAGACTTAAGGCAGCTGGAGTCTTCTAGAGAAAAAAAAAAATTAAAAACCTGAAGATTTATCTACAAAGATTAAAGTGGCTTTAATGGCAAAGCCCTAAGAAAATAAAAGAAAATATCAGAAAAAAAGGGAAACAGCAGCCTTTGCTCGTGTCTGTACAAGGCAAATTAAGTTATAGATGTGCTTAAAAGGCCTAAGAAATTATAAATAAACTTAACCATTCGGTTGCTGTTTCACAGCCAAAGCCAACACAACCATTTTCCTCTGTCTGATGATGTGTCTGCAGACAGCCTTTGCTTCTCACACAGAGGAGTGTTAATGCATTGAGGCATTTGCAATTTTAAAACCAGAAATGGCTTTTTTCCCCCTCCCCAAAGTGTAGCAAAGAGCAAACATAACTCTTGTTTGTGTGCACATATTCT